ACCACACCTTTGATGCCCCGGTGCACCTGAAGAGACGGGGGCGGGCCCCCCCGCCGGGCGGGCGGGGCCATGCCGCGCTCTCCGGGGAGCCCAGGCGGCGCCCGCCTCCCGCCCCACCCACCGCCAGCTCCCCTGTCTGTCCCCGGAGCCAGGGTCTCCGGGGAAAGCGCCTGGCGGACCCAGCTCCACACCACCCGCCTTGCCTTCTCCAAGTCACTCCCTTCTCCGGGCCTCGGTTTCCTCATCTGTGAAGCGGGGTGACCAGTGAGCCCCCCTCTGGGCTTGTGAACGAGCCCGCAGCTGCCCGCTCGAGGGTCCACCCGACACCCTTTCGTGGGCCCGGAGCGCCATCAGAAAACTGTCAAGCCCGTCTGAACCGCCACGGCCGCTGCTCGGAGCCTGCGCACAGGGACCCGGGCCCCAGGCGTGGACCCCGCGGTCAGCCCCAGCCGAGACACCGACGGCGCTCTGATCCCGGACAGGCTACCTCGTGTCTCAGCACCGCCTCCCATCCGTAAAATGGGGCAATGGTGCCAACAGTCAACACACAAGAGGCCCAGCGACAGCCGGGACGGGGTCCTCCTCCCAGTGAGGATTATTCTGGACCCTTTCTCACTGCTCACCACCTATTTCTGGGTGACCTTGGCCCCGTCCCTCCCCCACTCCAGGCCCGGCTGCCCGGGTCTCCCCAGTGTGAACCGGTCCAGACACGGCACCCTCGGGGCAGATGCACACACCCGGCCCCCAGACGGGGAAGCTCCGTGTGCCTCAAGGAGAGCCGCCCCTCGGCACTGCCTGGCCCCCTTCACGCTCTTCTTATAAGGTCGACAATCACAGAGGTGCCTGGGGGCTCCGTCGGTTAAGCCTCCAACTTCGGCTCAGGCCACCATCTCACAGTTTGTGGCTTCGAGCCCCACATCGGGCTCTGTGCTGACGGCTCGGAGCCCGGAGCCTGCTTCGGATTCTGCGTCTCCCTGTCTCTCTGCCCCTCCCCCACTTGTGCTCTGTCTCTCTCTCTCTGTCTCTCAAAAATAAATGTTAAAAAAATTTTCTTAAATGTCGACAATCAACAAGTCAACCTCCCCTTGCTCTATTGGGCTGAAAACAACTTGGGGCCCACAGGTCGTGTCAAATGAGGCCAAGGTGACTGGGTGGGAGGGGAGACGGTGCAGGGAGACCGCTCTCTCCCGGGAGGCTGCTGCCTACACCTTCAGTGCCCCCCCCCCCGGGCCTCCAACCCTTTGTCCTGCCCCCTCCTCTGCTCGGAACACCTTGCCAGCTCCTGCACTGGCCATTCCTCTTCCCCACGCTCTTCCTCCAGGAAGTCCTCCTTGATGACCGGCCACATCAGGGGCCTCTTCTGGGGTCCTCAGTTCCAGGCTTCCATTCCCCCAGCCCTGATCTCACCGTAATGGCACTGTCTGCCCTCCTCCCCCCGACCTAGAGACCAGACACACAGTAGGGCCTCATTTAATGTCAGCTTGCATGGGTTAGGCTTTGTTCTATCCTCGCTTTGGGGCTGAGGAGCGATCTCCATGCAGACCCAGGGCCGTGGAGGTCTCCGGCAGCGAAGGAGGCGTGGCGTGCACGGCCCTCCCTCCCGACCCGGGGAGCTGCAGGCACCCACCCGAGGCCTGGTCAGCATCACTGTGAAGAAGGCCTCCATGGGCCATGGCAGGCTCGATCCTTATCAGAAGCCCCAGCTCGGCCCTCCCGGGGCGTCGTCCTGCGGCGGGAAGCTGGGGGGGGGGGGGGGGCAGCCACACCCGGCTGCACGCCCCACCCCCCCACAGCATCGCGCTCACTATTAAATCTTTATATCCCGAGACTTCACATGCAATATCCACAGAGCAATCCCAGCTCCATTTAAGGCTCCTTAAAACTCATTTTCACCAGACGGCCGTAAAATGGAATGAGCAAGCAGTCTGACCCAGACCCATTACCGAATGATGACCCTCCCCACGCAGCGAGAGGTCGCTGGCTCGGCCATAAAAAAGAAACTCAAACAACGCTAATAACGTCCAGCTATTATCTGGGCTTTGCTTTCTTTTTTTTCTTTCTTATTGTGGCAGCGGCTTATCCGGGAGGTTCTGCTTGGTTCTTGCCTGGAGGAAGGTTCCTGATCTTTCTAGAAAGGGTTCGTTGACAGAACTGAGGTGTGGGGCAGGCAGATCTGAGTTCCAGCTCTGGACAGTCGCTAGGTGACACGGTCTGACCCTCTGTCTCCTCCTCTGGTTTTCTCATAGGCACTGAGGGCCACGTGCGACCCAGGAACCCGAGACCCGCGCTGTCCCTCCCCGGCATCCGTCCCTCTACCCATAAAGCGGGGCAGCCCCTTCTCCCACCCGGGACTGGTGTCAGGATTCGATGCCACATGTGGGGGCGCCCACTGTAGGGTGCGATTCACATACGTCCCCTCAGTGTCCCCTTCGGGTAATCCCGTTTCCCTCCCAGGGCCTGCTTCTCACGGGGACATTGTGCCAATATGTGATTCGCGGGAGTCTTGGAAACGCTCAGGGAAAGTCACAGAGGCGTCCGTGGAGCCGCCGTTAGGTGTCATTTCACCTCCTGGGTCCCCGTCTCCCTGTCGCATGTGGCTACCTCCCTCAGACCCCCACCACGCCCCTCCGCTGGGAGCCACGCCCCCAGGCAGGACTCGAGGAGGCAGGGGACACTGGCAGCTGGTCCCCACGCGGTCACCGAGCCACAGGAAGACCACCCCCTGGGTCCAGTGAGGATTATTCTGGACCCTTTCTCACTGCTCACCACCTATTTCTGGGTCACCTTGGCCCCGTCCCTCCCCCACTCCGGGCCGGGCTGCCCGGGTCTCCCCATCCCCCATGCCCCCCAGGCCCAGGGCTCACCATCTCCATGAAGTTCAGGAGGGGCTCTTTGTTGTGCTGCCAGATGGTATAGAGGGCCTCCTCCGGGGGGAACTTCACGCAGCCCAGCTCCACCGTGATCTCAAAGCAGTTGCTGTGCAGGTAGTTGAAGTCGGACATGCCTGCAGGGCAGGGGCGGCCTGAGCGCTTCCCGCACTCGGCATCCGCCACCTGGCAGGCGGGAGGCCGCCGGACACCCGCGAGGGGGTGACGGGTCTTGTCGTTATCCCACTGTACAGATGAGCAGACCGAGGCCCAGGGCCCTGCCGCTCTCACCCGAGGCCCTCGGGGAAAGGGCAGAGCTGCTCTTTAAACCCAGTCGCTTGGCACCCAAGGCCACGGGCTTATGCTCTGTCCTATGTGCCCCGCGGTGGGTAAGGAACGAACCCGTTTCCAGTAGAGATACGGGTAGCCTGCGGCAGCCACATGAGCCCCTGGCACCCGAGCCTCTGCCTCCCCTGCCGGTCTGAACCCCAGTGATACACTGTCCGTTTGCCTAGACGGTCCCAGGAGCAGCCTGGGGGAGAAGATCCCCTAATCTCCATTTCCGGGGAGAAGACAGGCTGGGCAAGGCTGGACAGTCCGCCAATCGGGTGGCCGAGAGAGGCTTCGAGAAAATCGGGCTGACCACCACCCACCCGCTTGTGCCCTTCGCCCCATCTGTTTCCGGGATTTCTTGTCCCGTAGAAGCTGCGAGGGCTCTCCAGGGCAGACCTGCCGTGCCCACGGGCCAGCCCTGTGTCAGGAGCAGAGGGGTCCCCTGTCCCCTGGAAGTCAGAGCCTCCCCGGAGCCCTGGTAAGCCAGCGGCCACCGTCATGGACTTGACCTTCACAATCAGAAGGGCAGCCACACTCCAATCCACCGGGTCCCTCTGTCCTTGGCCACTGGCCCCACGCTCTCCCCACGGGAATGAGCCCGCTTTCCTCTCCCGGGCTCAGACCCACTGTGGGGGTCCTTTGCGGACCCTGGAAATGGGGTCATGACCCAGGCTGGAGCCTTTCCACTGGGGTCAGGGAACCATGCACCTGAAGCTGCCCGTGCCCCCAGGAGTCAGGGAGCAGGAGGGGACAGTGTGCAGAGCAGGGGTGTGACGGGCTGCACAACCGGAGCCGGAGGGGCCGGCCCCCCTGCCTGCACAGAAGTGGGAGGCTGGGCCCGTGCCCTGGGCGCCACCAGGCCCTTCTGCCCGAGCCCGAGCTCCTCACCTGCCACATGTCACACACAGGCGTCATGCCGGCGTGGAGGGATGGCAGGCAGAGCGTGGGGGCTCTGGTCATGGCATTCGGTGCCAGGCACAGCCCCACTGCTCTGTGTGATGTGCACCCGGGACGGCTTAGCAAAGAGCGCGCCAGTTAAAGCTGAGCAAAGTTTCAGTGTAAGTATACCCCACGCAGTTCTTGGGACATACTTATACAGTATCCAAAATTCCTCATTATCTTTCTGAAATTCAAGTTTAACCGGAGTCCTTCGTTCCCTGCGACAACCCCTGCCTGTCCCCCGAGGGGACCTGGTCACAGGATTACCGCGTGGCGTGTGTCCGTGCTCATGAACTACACCGCAGAAACGGCAGGGGGCGGGGGGGGGGTCCAGCTGGACCACACGGGCCACCTGCAGCTTTTACCAGGCGGGGCCAGAACTGAAGCCAGACCGCCCCCCTCATCCTCCCGCACCCTGGGCGCTTTCCACGCGCGGATGCCAGGGTGCGCCTGTGCTGCTCCCCAAAGCAGACGTCCCAGAATCCCCTTCCCAGAAAGAGCTGGGACCGACAGGGGGCGCCAGCTCCCCCACTCCATAACCCCTCCTCACCTTTCCCCTCCCCTCCCCAGCCCCTTCCTCCCCCTCCCACGTCCCCCTCATTCCCACCCAACCCCCCAACCCTTCTCCAACCTCTCCCTTCCGCCAAATCTCCCTCAGCCCTCCCCTCCCCCAGCCTGCCCAGCCCCTCCCCAACCTCCCCTTCGCAAACCTTCCCTCAGCTCTCCCCTCCCCCCTTCCCATCCCCAGCTCTCCTCCCCCCCCCCCCCACCAGCGCCAGCCCCAGCCTGTCCACCCCCGCACCTCCGGTGAAGCTGTACCAGTCCGCCCCGTTGATGATGCTGCCCCTCTTCAGGAAGTTGCCACCACACCTGTTCTCCGACCTGTCCATCATCATGGGGTGGACATCCGCGTAGGCCCTGGCCAGCAGCTTGAACATCTGGAAAGGAGACCAAGGGAGAGGTTTCCTGTGAGGCCAAGGCCAGGAGCTGGGGCCCCCTGCAGAACTCTCTCAGCACTGGGGGCAACGGAGCAAGGAGCGGCCCCCACAGCCAACACCTGCAGCACAGATACACGGGAGTCGTGTCCACAGAAGCAGCTCAGCACGTGCAAAAGCCGGGGGCGAGACAGCCAGAGCTCAAGGCACCGGTGGTGGCCACGTGGCACATCGTGGAACCCTTGCACCCTGGCCGGGGAGTGTGAGCTTTCTCTCGAAGAGGGGGCACACTGGGGGCACACTGAAGGGACCTTGGCAGGGCTCGCAGAGGTTGGCTTTGCACTTTCCAAGGCGCTTCCTGCAGAAGGCGGGCCTTGGGGGAAGCAGGAGGCTAGAGTGGGCCTCACGTTCACTGACGTCGCCACCGATTTCCTCTACAATAACTGTCGCTTCACATTCCCCGGGGACAACTTGTACCTGAGGAAGCCCCCACCTGCTGCCATATGACAAGTGCCTTCCAGGTGGCTGGTGGGGGGACGTGGGACACAGCCCACGGGGCCTCCACCTCCTGGCAGGTTCACGGCCCCGGCCCCCAGCCCAGCACGCGCCCCGTCAGGCCCCCACCCCAGGCGGGGCCCAAGGGGCTTCCTGTGCCTATGTCCCAGCACAGGACACCGGGTCTGACTCCGGGCGGAAGCTCCCAAGGGGGCGCCGTGTGGACGAGAGGGCCACTGCACTACCCTTGTCAGAGCCCTGCGGCCCCGGGAGAAGCCTGTCCCAAGATGGAGATCCCTCTGTAAAAAGGGGGTGGGCTGGGCAGGTGGGGTGAGACCAGAGCGAGGGCCCCCGGGGTCTGGGGAAGGAGGGTCCGGTTTCTCGGGGGGAGGACTGTGCAGAGTCAGCTCGGCCCCACAGACACAAACCAAGCCCCCAAAACACAACCCGGTGCGTGTCCCTCAGTCACTGAGGCCGGCCTGCAGACGGGGCACGGATGTCTTGCGGGGGCAGCCCCTGCTGCAACAATGTCCTCGGCCAGGAGTCCGGGGGCCTAAGAAACTTGCCCTCTGCCTCCACGTGCTGACGGGTTGGCGGCTAGAGCTCTGCCCAGTTCCCACCTTTCTGGCCTCCCATCTGCCTGCAAAGTGGGGCCTGGGCCGAGGCAGGTAGGGGAGGCCGGACCACACGCTGCGAGCCCTGCCCTCTCAGCCGCCCCGCCCGTCCTGCCTGGGTCTCCCTCCCCTCACCCGTCAGTCAGCCCCGCCACCAAAGCGTGTGCCCTCAGGAGAGCGGGGAACGCCATCATCGTCCCCGAAGCCCAGCGACGCCCGAGCCGCAGGCCCCGCTGGGAACAGGCCCGACCCGGGGGGCCGGCGCGGCACAAGGACATCAGAGGCCAGACGGCTGTAAGTGAGAGGAGGCGGTGCGGCAGGCTGCTAGGACGGTAAGGTGGCAGGGACACGGCAGCTGCGGGGCCCCAGGCCCCGGGAAGGACCAGACTGCCTCGCTGGGGCCGCCCGAGACCCCGCAGAAACTGTCGCTCGCTCTTGTTGGACATGGGCTGGGTTGGGGAGGGTTTGCGGGGCAGGACAGAGCTTGAGCCCAGCTTGGGAGTAAGATTTCGGCGGAAGGGACAGGTGTAGGGGGGACAGGAGCGGGGCGGGCGGCCACGGCCGGCCTGGGGGCCTAGAACACCGCCAGGAGGTGTGGGCTCTCATCCACGGGGCGCCACGGGAGTCTGGGGGAGGTGGCCTGGGACACCCCGGCCGGCCCCTCTTCACGCTCCCCCACGCCCCGGCACCCCTCCCGGGACCCTGGTTTCCACTGAGACCACTGCTGGCTATGGGCCTGAGGATTATCGATCCCTGATTGATGGCTGGTGGGAAAGCCTCAGTTTTCTGACTCTGGAGGGACTCGTTGAGGTGAACTTCCCCCCTAAGGACGTCTTCACACGTCTGCCTCTGAGATTCAGAGACGCCGGGCCTGGCGCTGAAGGCTCCTGCTGCCCAGAGGACACGGGCTCGTCCAGATGTTGGCCCTGCCATCTGGGTCACCACCCGGCCTGGGTCACTTGCTGAACTCTGAGCACAGAACCCGGCCCCCCCTGCAAGACCGGGGCATGTGCTGGCTGCAGGGGCCAAGTGAGTGCGTGCGTGAGAAGGTGTACGAGTGGGTGTGTGACTGGGTAAGTGTGTGAGTGACTGAGTATGTGAGTGTGAGAAGGTGTGTGAGTAGATGAGTGTGTGAGTGTGTGAGAAGGTGTATGAGTGAGTTGTGATTGGGTGTGTGGGAGTGCCTGAGAAGGTGTATGGGTGTGTGAGTGTGTAAGTGCATGAGTGTGCAAGTGGGTGAGTGGATATGTGGGTGAGTGTGTGATAAGGTGTACGTGTGTGTGATGTGTGAGTGCGTGTGTGACCAAGCATGTGAGTGTGTGAGAAGGTATATGAGTAGGTGTGAGTGGGTAAGTGGGTGAGCGTGGGGGTGAGTGTGAGAGTGGGTGTGTGTATGAGAAGGTGTGTGAGTGTATGTGAGTGAGTGTGTGAATGTGAGCAGGCAGGTGAGTGTGTGGGTGAATGTGTGAGGAAGTGTATGAGCGGGTGTGTGAGGGGTGAGCGTGTTAGTGTGTGGGTGGGAGACTGAGTGTGCAAGTGAGTGAGTGAGTGACTAGGTGAATGGATGAGTGAATGACTAAGGTAGTGAACAAGGCAATGAATGAATGAGGGAGGGAGTGAATGAGTGAATGAACAGACGAGTGAACGAACTAACAAATGAATACGCAGACGAGTGAATGAACGAGTGAGCGAGTGAACGGACGGGTGAGCGAGCGAATGAGCGAGTGAGCGAGTGGACGGATGGACGAGTGAGCGAGTGACTCGGCAGAGCAAGGGCGGAAGACGTGGGACCAGAGGCCTGGGCCACATGGCAGGGCTGTCCCAGCTCTGGTGGAGGCGGGGCGCTCAGCCTGGGGCCCGGGCTCCGCCTCCCCGGCTCCGGGGCACGCCTGGCCCCGTCTGGGGGTCCCGTCTGGGCGCCTGTGGGAAATCACCTCCTTCAGGCTCCGCCGAGGCAGACGCCTCCTCAGGGAAGCCCTCCTGAAGGCCCAGGACGGGCTGGGGGTTCACCCTCCTCGCTCACGCCCACACAGCCTGCGTGGGGGG